GCGGACGGACGGTCGTTCGTTCGTTCGTTCGGTGTACGGTCACGTGATTACCAAATTTTCTTGGATGGGTAGATTCCCTTAGCTATGGGGCTCCGCCCACGCGCGCGCTTCGCGCGCGTGGAGCTCCGCTAAAAATTGTGCATTTTTGACTGTATGACTGATATCTCATATATAACTTGCTATACACATGTGATGTTTACACCTCATTGCAATACAATTCATTATGCTTTATTCTTAAAAAATTGCTTAAAGAAAAATTAAGAAATGGGAAAATCGGCTTCCTAAATTAATTTCAACCATTTGATATTAGGGAGTGTTTATTTGCAGCATAGGTGTCTTTCAGGCATAAAAAAATGTTGATGCAACTAAGTGCAAGTTTAAGTCAATGTTCACTCTCGTCAATCTTATTTCCAATGTTGAACTTTGAATCTGTTCATCTGACCTTCTTTCTCCCCACCCCTCTCTCCCCAGAACACTTCATCGAAGCCAAAACACCTTCCTCTAAATTTCCATTTGGACAAGGCTTTTATGAAATCTGGAAATCAAACGGACCCATATCTAGGTGCTTATAAGTATGGTAACTAGTGCGTGGGTGTCAACTTAATTACGAAGACATTCTCAACAGTGCCATCCAATAAGAAATCTATTATAGAATTCTCTTAATGCACGCTCACCAACAAGTAGACCTGTCCATTCACTGAGCATTTCATTGATGTGCAATAGAAAGGATTTCTTAAGGCTGAGAGGTTACATGAGAGTTGTGGGAAAAGCTACTGTCGTTTGTATGCCTGCTCACATCTGTAGTGCTATTGTCCAGTGGTGATGGTGCAGTGCAGCAGTAGCGCAACAGATGGGAAATTACTACACACCATATTTGTGCTTGTTGAATTTCTGGTAATAAATCAAGAACAACGTTTTGTCTTTATGGCCTGGTGCACTTCTAAAAACGAAACAAGTTTCGTTACAATTTTCCTTAGTAGCTACCTCATCACAATAGTTCTGAGGAGAGAGAGTAAAGCATTCATGGCATAAGTGCTGATTGTAAAGAATCAAACTAAACCACAGCTGTAATCAACTGGCCATTTTACTGGCAAAGTGCATTTTATTAACCTGCAAATCAACTGACCTGTGAATACTGACTCTTATGCATGACTACACAAAATAAGTACAAACTGTATGTTTTCACGAGATGAGTACATTTTCTTCCTTCTCTCACTGTAGCATGACTTTTACTGTGTTGTTTATTTGCCAAAAAAAGGTAGAAAAATGGGATGAAGAACGCTATTTAAAATCGTGGTTAAAAATCCTTGTTCAAAACCTTTATAGCAAAAGTTGAAGAACAGAGAAACACACAAAGACAAGACACATAATGCTTTTGAGATTTCATGATCATCAGATCACATTTTTTTTCCCCAATCCCTGTAACATTATTTTAAGGAATTATTATTTCCCACCCCTAAAATTACTGGGAAATGTTTTTCAACAATAAATCATCTAGAGCTGGTGTATGGATGAAGGTGCTCATAAGTTCTGCATGAAGTTCGGGCATCAGCGCATTCACATTTGACTCAAAAAATCTGCAAATAAGGTTGCCTTGTCCAAGTGTTCTACTATCAAAGTGTGCACCACACATTGGAGATTTGACAAGACCTGATGTGGTTTTGAGCCCAGAATATTTGCTGCCGTCAGTTTGAGTTCATCCAGTTTTCTTGGTTTAATGCACTCCAGAGATGAGGCTAAAACTGACAAACCTTCCAGTGATATTGGGTTGTTGCTATGAGGAGGAAAAAAAATAAAAAAGGAAGATTATAATTTTGGATCATAATTAGGTATGCTACAGTTGCAGTTCTGTGCAAGCAGCCCCCTGGCCTGTTTCCGTTGGTAGCTTGCTTTTGCTCTTGCATTGGGTGACTAGGAAATCTTAATTTCCCATAAATGTCATTAAACAGGGCACCTTGAAATTCACAGGTTCAGTTCACAGAGTTCCTCTCAAGAGGCCATTACCAAGTTCCAAAAACTCTCACTTTCAAAAAAAAGATAGTTACAAAGGCAAAGACGCCCACAAGTTAAAGGACCAAATGGCCGGAGCTTATCCTGGTTTCTTTATAGTATGAAGCATGCCTAAGAATATTGCTACTCTCCCCTGGATGGGATGCTGGTCCATCGCAGGGTTACCCCTCAGCACCATGTCGCCAGTACCCATTAATTTATACACCTACGTGAAGAGAGACAAAGTGGAGTAAAGTTCCTTGTCTATAAAGAAACAATGTGATGGGCAGGGCTTGAACCCCGGACATCCAGATTCAGAGGTGGAGGTGTTAACTGCTTAATGCCACACATGCCTCCACAGTCTTTTAAAATGAGGCTAAGTGCAAAATCTTTCTTCACTGAAAATGAGTTTTATGAGCATGAGAATAAAAAATCGTTTTCATATCAATGACTTAATTTGCACTAGCCTTGCTTTAAGGTGGCTAAACACAGTTTTGCAGGCGGTCAGTGGTAACTTGCATGATGGCGCGTGTTTTAAATGGGACACAAACATGGTGGCAAAAAAAGCAATGGTACACAGAAGACAATTTCTACAAATCTACTCATTAAAATTTTGTAACATTTGGCAGAATTTATACTTGTATTGTATTTTAAATAATGAGAACTTTCAAATGGAAGTTGAACAGACAAATTTAGTGACACATTTAACAATTAATACAGTACAATAATTGATCATCTAAACCCATCAGTTAAAATTTGGTCAAATAAGTTTTATAGGAAAATCTCAAGAGCGAATTTCATGTAAACTGAGCAAAAGTGAAATTTTAAGGTTGTATTCAATTGTTCCTGTTGCCATGGAAACAATCAAAATCTTTCATCAGTATATTTTTCACTTGTCAAGTTTCAGCTTGTGAGCTGCAACCTTTCTCTTGCCATGATTTGGCAAATGACATACACTCACAAACTGCCAAAACTGTATTCAGCCACCTTAAGACTGAGGCTTGAAGCAACTTGCTAATGTCCTATTTATTAAAAAGTATCTTTCATAATAAAACAAACTAGCGATTAGAGGTTTACACAACCAAGTTAATTTATAAACATACCATAAATTCCGAAAATAATCAAGCCCCTCCATGTACAAGCCCCTCCAAATAATTATAAGCCCCCCCCCCCCCACCCCCAAAATCGTAACACAAAAAAACCCCTGTTAAATCACCCCTCCAAATGTATGCGCACCCGGGGGGCTTGTACTTGGAATTTGCCCTCGAATACAAACTAAAAACAAAGCAAAAATGGTAAATTTCCTCCCCACTACAAGCTAGCCCATCCCTTTTGAAAGGCAAATTTCCCTTCGTACACCTTAGCCCCTCCAAAAATAAGCCCCTCAAAAAGGGCCTTTGAAAAATATAAGCCCTGGGGCTCATTTTCGGAATTTGACGGTAAGTCTGCCATTAATACATGTAGATGAAAATAATAACTATTACATTAACATACCTTAATTCTAATTTGTTTATTCCTGAAGTTTTGCTTGGATGAATGAAAACTTGTGATAAAGCAGCAATGTGAGCATCACCTGCACAACAAAAACAACACCACACAACAAAGTAAGCATGGTGTAAGAAAGAAGAAACGACACTTTTTTTCTAGGGTTGGCAATAACATTTATGGGGTGGTCATTTAAAAGCCTGAGCATGCCAGCGGTTGCCAATGTGTATTGGTGAACAAATGTGAGCAACTACCCTGTATATTATAAGCATTCATTTCTTAACTAAAACCATCTGTGATTATGATCTACATGTATTTGAAGAAAGTGAACATGTTTCATTTACATGTACAAATAGTGTTGTGCAAGGCTGTCACTAAGTTACTTTTCAAATTTCTGTGTTAATTTATGAAAATTTTTTTATTAATGCACAACAGGTAGATGGGGAATTAAACAGCTTGCAGTGTGGGATTTCGTTTGGTTCTATTTTTCTTCTATTCTTTTCCTTTAATGAAATTAGCCAGGGAAGCACCCCTGCCCCCAGGAAGGCCGACAGCCCTGGTTGAGTCAGCATACTGCAATGTGTTGATGATTTAATTGAGGTTTGACTACATGCACGGACTTGAAAAAGCTCACCTAAAATGTTTTCTCCCAGCTTTAAGCTTGTTAAGGTGCTGTTGATGCACAAGGCATGAATTATGTCACCAAAGAACTCTGAATCTGAAACTGAGATGGAATAAAGAATGAAGAAAACGAAGCTTATGTTATAATGACTTACATTGTCAACCATTACAATGTGTTGACATGTGCATATAACTTTGATAACCATATGAATAAATGATTATAATTCTTATGGAAGTGCATTCACAGATGATTGGGAGCATGCAGAACAGGTTTTTCCACTTTTCAGTGAGTGAAAGCAAGTGGGAGTCCCAATGTTGCATGCCTTAGAATTGAAACAATTATACAAAAAAAAACATGAACAACAACAACAACAATAGGGTGCAAAGAAAATCATTTCTACAGCTTGCCATTCGGGCAAGCTGAAGCTAGCATTTTGCTAGCCCAGACGTCATTTCAACTAGCCCCAAAAACTTTTTGTTCTTCTGTTATTCAAATTCCTCATAAAACATCACTTGCCCGTCGGGCAAGTTAAAAACAGAATTCACCAGCCCGATAGCAAAATCCACTAGCACTGGGCTATCGGACAGTACTTTCTTTGCACGCTGAACAACCATACAACAACAATGCTGGTTCTGGAACCTGAAGATCAGAGGTTCTAATCAAATCTTTGATTGCCATTTTCCAGCTCTAATAACAAAAATAGGAATTTAAGAATGTTGGTTTTTAAAAAGAGGATAAACCACGTCACAACTCAGAGAAAAATTTAATACATTTGTACCAAGCAGAACTAACATAAAATAATACACATATTAAACAGAAAAATGGCAAATTGTCAACACTGAAGTACTTTCTTAGCTTTACCTCCGAGTCCACAGCTGCTGAGATTCAAATCTGTGAGTGTTTTGTTTATTGTTAGCATCTCTGTCAGCTTGTTATTTCTACTGGGATCATATCTGTTGCCTTTGACAGACAGGTGTTTCAGAGATCTGTGACCTGATCAAAGAGCAACATTACACCATGAAAGAATATTGAGATCAACAGTGAAAACGTAATTAATGTAATTTTAGAAGCCCGGTAAACTCTGTTAGATAAATATAATTGTGGAGTCTCAGAAAAGGCTTAAGGCTGAAGGGTTATGTCCAATATTGCATGTTAAATTAAATAATTATACAATCATAGCCTGTTGTACCTTCTATTAATTTTCTCTTCTTAATTAAGCTGATCTATAAATAAAAACCAATAATTGAGACAATAATTGATGGAGAGTGCAAGGGGTCAGGGAGGGTACATCTTTTCCTTTTTCTGCATTCATCCATTCACTCTCTTGTTAAAAATATTTTGAAAAAAATCTGTAAACAGGATTATAGTCAGTGTTGTTACTATGTAATGTGTAAATAGTCATACCTGTTATGGCATTAAAGATGTCACCTAGCCCTGCAGTTGAGATATTACAATTGACCAAACTCAGAGAAAGAAGTGAGCTATTACTTTGCAGTCCATCAGAGATCAAGCTTGCTCCTCTATCCCCAACTGGACAAGTCAATCGCAGTTCTTGGATGCCAACAAACTCTTTGGAATTGCAGCCATTAAACTGGATGATTTTACTGGAATCTAAAGCTGGAATTTCTGTGAAATTAGCCATGTTTGATGCTGCTTCAAAAGATCCTGGATAATTCTGCTCAAAAGCTGTTTTTGTACAGTTGTCATTCCTGTTAATGAAGTTCAAGTCACCATTGCCAGGCTCATTGAAACTTTCATGGCATGAACATGTCTCCCTAATCGAATATTCTTCTTGACAGTTGTCAACTTCATTGTTTACACAGGAACCATTATGCAATGTGAATCTCTCATTTTTGACTGGAACCTGAAATTTTGTTTTTCTTTTACTTCCCAAGGAAATACCCAGATCCATGCACTCTGGTTCGATAGAATCTTCACTATCTGTTGTCTTGGATTTATGTGTAGAAGATGCCTCTAAATTCTTTAGTGAACAAAAACAAACATCTTTTATTGCTGTTCTTAAATGTGCACAGAAGGCTTCAGAAACTTGAAAGGAAGAAAGTTTGAACTTTGTCAAAGACTTGGACTCTTGGTTACACTTCCAGCAAAATGAACCAATTAATCTTTCCACAAGAAACTTTGTGATGCTATCACTCACTAGGTTATTTGTGATTTTCAGGCAATGCAGTTCTCCTTGTGTGCAGAGGAGATAAAGTGTATCCATTAACTTCTGTGATAAGCTCAGAGGCTGGAAGCTTAGACCATTGTCTTCAAGTGTCAGTGACTTTAAGTTTGTCCAACATTTTAAACTATTAACAAACAGTTCAAGGAGATCTTGATGCAGCCAGAAGGCAGTCAGCTCAAAATGAACTAAAGAGCAGCCAACATTTGATAAACTGTGAAACAGTGAAAGCGGCTTTGTAGGTTTAATAGCTTTTGGGATAACTTGACAGTGGTCTGAGGTTTTATCTGTGTCTTGTTGACTGTCATTTACTTGCAAAAGCTCTCTTGGGACTTCTCTGCAATCCCGTCCATGGTTACAGGTCGATTTGTGACGTAGTTTCTCTAGACCTGATCTTGAACTTCTCCGAAGTGAACACGGATTGACTCCATTTGTAGGTCACGTTGATGAGGTCCTACTAAGTCTCTTAAAAGATGTACTCTTTGGAAAAACTGACAAGTCATCATCAGTAAACTCATAAATGTTGACATCATCTAAGACACTTGGAGGAGATGTGCAATTTCCCATTTCATTAATTAATTTCCATGGTAGGGATTGATGAGGATTATCATTGTCTTCAAAAGGAACACTTTCCTCCTTTTCTATGTCAGCAATGTTGCAACCATTTTCTTGTAATGGTAACAAGGAACAAAATATTTTACTCCACAATTCAACACTGTTTACTTTGCAAAAACAGAATCCAATAGATTTCAGTCTCTTTGATATAAATACTTGAAGGAGATGACACAGTGGCTCAACTCCATTGTTTCTAAGCATGAAAATTTCTAGAAATTCAACACACTCAGCAAGTTGCTCAACAATATCCCAGTTCTTTGCCAGATAAATAATTGATGGATTATAAATCCTAAGATATGCTGCATATCTTGCACAAGCTGAAATTATGTTTTGCAATCTGTAGTCATCACTTTCTGGAATGAAAAAGAAGTGAACATGTTATTTAAATGGCATTATCTTTCAATCACTGATTTATTATTGTGGGGGACAAAAGGAGCCCCCAATCCTAATCTCCAGGTTGTATTTACACATGCGTCGCACATATGTAGCCAGCATTCGTTTGGACTTCCACTAAGAATGAATGGAATGAACCTAAAATGCAATTTGATCACATGCATTCAGAGCTTATATCACTCGTAACCTGATCATGCATGTTGTGACTATCTGTCACGTGAAACTTACCCAAAGCACATCATTGGAGCAAAAGCGTTTTGACCTTCGATCATTGTTGCTTGCGCTCCGTAACCTTTGGGTATTACTAACAATAGTTTAGTTATCATATTTCATACCTGCAGATGACGAACAAATTTTTAAACCACTGACGTTACATCCATTAAGAGCCTCTTGTAGTAGTCTTTGAAGGTAATAAATCTTCCAAAGTTCTTGTTCTCGTGTGATTCCCTTTGTTTTAAAGTACACCTCAGGCCACTTACTCTTTCTTGGCCACTTTGCAGTGTAAATGTTTCTCCAGAGTGGATTAGTGTCAATTCCTTTCAATTATTTTTTGGAAAGAAATAGATAAAAAAATGTTAAAAAGATTGATGCACCAGAGTACAGACTCATGATGTTGGTCTGTGACAAGAAAATTTATTGTATTCAAAAACATACCACATAAAGCTTTAAATGTATTAAGTTCTATTAACAAGATACTTTTTTCCAACATACTCATTGCTTTGAAAATACTGGAGTCTTCAAGTTTCTCAATCTCTAGAGGATCAAGGTTTTCCAAAATTGGTAGGAGAAGATGTCCTGGAATTCCTTGAAAAAAAAAGGAATAGCATTAACGCAGTTCAAAAGAAGCTTGAGACAAGTTCAATCTTAAACTAATAAACAAGCTGTGAGGAAGCCATTTTGAAAATTGAAAGCTTCTATATAATATTGCGACAAGAACTACGAGAAATCATATTGGAAAATTTGAAATTTGGATATAAACACATGATCTGGAAAAAGAATAGTGGTTTCACTGTTCGGCACATCATAAAAATTGCTATTTTACCGCGGATTGGTTAAAGCAATCATGGAATTTTACCTAAAAATTCTTCAGGTTTCCAGTATTTCACATTAACACGGATGAACTGAACGCATAAATCCTCAAGTTTAGGAAAATGGGCGACATACTCGCAGTTATCCGCCATATTGTGAAGAGTGTCAGAGTGAGATCTGGTAACAAACATTTCCCCAGTGCTTTCTCGGTTAGGGTTTTCCTCGCAATGTGTGATGGGTAGGGGAGTTCACTTCCGCATCATCCTGCAAAATGGAGTGTCTGGCTGAATCGTTGTCTGCAGATCCTTCCAAGCATCGTCAAGAACTTCTCGAGCGTCTGGATATCTTGAGAAACAACGATAGCTTTTGTGACGTGACGATCGCAGTAAAGGACAAAGAGTTCAAAGCTCACAGAGCTGTTTTAGCGGCGGCCAGTCCGTTCTTTCTAACTCTTCTGACAAGCAACATGAAAGAAAGCAACGAACAAATGATCAAAGTAGAGCTAGAAGAAGCCACTGAAACTGTCATGGAAGACGCGCTAAAGTACCTTTACACTGGAAATGTCACGGTCGTTGAGGAGAAAGCTCACAATTTGATTGCAACGGCAAATTTTCTTCTTTTGCCAAGCCTCAAGACAATGGCGGGGAATGTCCTGAAAGAGTCTGTGTCAACTGAGAACTGTCTTTTTAATTATTACTTTGCTGAAAAGTATGAGTGTGTGGAGCTGAGGGAAAAATGCCGTGAAGTAATCAACTCGAATTTCAGTGTTGTTATGGAAACAGAGGATTTTGTGAATCTCGATTTGAAGCAAGTTACGGAGTGGGTGTCTAATGATGATGTTATTGTAAATGCTGAGGAAGACATTTTCCGAGGAATTGTCACGTGGGTGTCTCGCAACAAGAGTGAGAGAGAAGATTATTTTCTAGAATTATTGTCTCAGGTTCGCATGATATCTGTTTCACAGGACTTTCTACTTAATCAATTACCAAAAGAAGAGCTTGTCATTAGTAATTCTAAAATTGGCTTGAATTTTGTGTTGGATGCCATGAGAAGAAAGCTGTCGGAAACTGATGAAAAGGCTATTCAAAAACCCCGAAAATGCCTTTTGATACACATCCAGGGCATTTTTCTCTGTGGAGGAAGAAAGACACTGTGCTACTTTCCACAGAAAAATATATGGTACAGGATGGCAGACACACTGTTTGAACATGACCATTCCACTTTCACTCCTGCAGAGTTCATGCACAAAATTTACATTTTTGATGCAGGATCGCATAAGGTGGATGAATCTACAGCAAAGGTGATGGAATACTTAGAAGACAACAACACCTGGGCAGCAGCTCAAGGGGCTGCAGCTACTTTTGGCATTACTCATTACACTGTTTTAAATGGTGACTTATATGCATTATATTTACAATACCACAAGACAGACATCTACAGATATGATGCAGAAACTAATGATTGGGATAGAATGGAATCTTTGGCTTTTGGACAGCGAGAAGCTTGCATTGTTACTGATGAACAGTTCATGTACATAATAAGTGGGAGGGAAACCAGTAGAACATCAAGATATGATTCACAGGACAAGAAGTGGGAAGAACTTGCCTGTGTCAATAAGGGAAGATTTAATGCTTTTGGTGCTGCTATGAATGGCAACATTTACATTGCAGGAGGACATAACAATACTTTGTTGAGCAGCATAGAATGTTCCTGTGAGTTATACTACACAGCTACCAACGAGTGGCAGCTGATGCCAAGTCTCAAGGTACCTCGATGCAGTGCAAGCATGGTGCATTTTCAAGGGAGACTGTATGTGCTGGGTGGAACCTCAGTCACTGATGGTGGTTCTTACACAAGAGCCTTAACAGTTGAATTGTTTGATTCAGAGAGGAATGAGTGGAAAGAGATATCACAAATACCAGTCGAAAGATTTGAAAGTCAAGAAGAGATGAAGAAAGGGAAGAGATTTAAAGCTTGTTGTGCAAGTCTCAGCAAAAAAGTGATAAACAGACATAAGCCACTGGACTAAGTGATAACCAGACTCTCCTACGTCTTGGTTTAATCTTCAGCTTCTACTTTAATTTTTGTTGGTTTGCTACTTGTTGATGTTTTGATCTGAAGCAGGTAGTGAATGTAGATCCATCTTGACAGGAACATTCAAGTCACTGACTTAAATTAAGTGTTGATGTAAGAAATGTAGTCTCCAGGAACAGTGTACATGTGTACAGTCATGTAGCTGGGGTGATAAGCATGGAAACTTTATTGTAAAATGCCATGACTATTTCTAAGTGCTTAAGATGGCATTTATAAGCATAGACCCAGTTTTTCAAAAGATTGCTTGTGCCATCCAGCACATCCCAGTTTATATGTATTAGGGAAACTGGTAATTCTGTTATGTGCATGTATTGGATAGAAATTATTATTGTAATGTTATCCACCCTGTGAACCACTGGGACCTGGTGTTTGGTGCTTGGCAGCCTACTGATATTCCAGTATCCTTACACAATGCAATTCCCTTGTTTTGCATTGTGTATCACCTACTGCACATAACACTGTGATGAGAAAAGTGGCAGTGATTTTCACTGTTCACCTTGTTATAAAAGGCCCTTTTTGTAGTCCAAGTGAGTTCATAGTGATTGTGATAACTCTTCAAGGTGTTGCTGTTGAACCTTGCCCCATTCCTTGCCACAAAATTATCATTTCACACCCAAATTGTCCCTTTGTAGTCTATTTGTAATGAAACCAAAATGGTGACCATGCTCACTTTTTCATTGTTGTCTTTTAATTGTTACGGTTACATGAGAAAAAAACTAGATAGCCCAACTAGACCTCATCAGTAGCTAGCCCTGATGAAAGCTAGTTTTGTCTAACTAAAGTATTGGGCAAATAATGCACCTATCAATGTAAATCCTGTGAGGGGGGAGTGCGGGCAAGGGGCGGGGATTTGATGCCTGAGACTATCCCCCCTGTCGGGCGTTTGATCGTGTGAAGCGACCCCGGGGTCGGGACATTTGATTTTGACCGACAGAAACCTGGTACCAATTCAGAAGTGGTTTCCAAGTCTGTCCCTCGAGGCTTTCTGAAAGTTACGCTGTTGGAGAAAGGTGTGAAGTTTTCATTTATTTTAATCACCATGATCCGACTGTCATCTAAACAGATAATGTCTGTTTTGAGAAAGTTTTTATCTTTAAGTGCCCATCTGATTGTAAAACTCGATTGAAATTGAATTCCCGGCCACCATGAAATTCAGAGGATTTTTTACGGGTAACTGATCCGACCTGTTCCGACATGGAGCAGATGTTATATAGCATTGTACGTTTCATTAACATTATAATAGCATGGTCAGTCTTCCTGGAGGGATTTTGTTGTTCAAAATAAGAGATGCTAGTGGAGAGAGAAAATACTTAATTACAGCGAGTAATTTAACGGAGCTTATAAATAAAAGTAGTAAGAACGTACTTTTGAAATGTTCTTTTATTCGTTTTTAAAGTATTATAGCATTATTTTTTTAGATTTCTTCCCTTGGGGTGGGGGCTTTTTTGACACTTTTGATTGACCTTTCGTTTTCCACCCTGGGGAATTTGATCAAAAAATTTTAAAATTTGTCAAATCCCCACCCCTTGCCCGAAAATCCCCCCCCCCCTACGGGGTTTACATTGATAGGTGCATAAATAATTACACATCCATAGCTTGCCTTCAATTTAGAGTATTATACTATATTGCTGATCCTGTTACCAAAGTCCAGCTGTCTCTTGCTGCAGTTTGCCCAAGTGGTCCTTTCAAGAATTGTTCAGTTATATTCTAGATTCCTGGTTCTATTGACAGCCACCTGTTCAAGACACTACATTGTGACTGAAAACTATACCCTATTAGGTGGCACATACCCGTCAGAACCAAATAAGGAAGTCCTCCCATGGCTGCCCTCACTTGAAAAAGGCATCATCACTGCCTCCAGGGGGATACTCCTAGGATTTCTTGCCCGGCGGGGTACTTCCTTATAAGAAACTAATGGGGATGTGCTGCTGGATGGAGTCGCATTGACTATAATGGGGGTTGGATTTCCAATAGAGTTACTAGAATGGGGTCGCACATTTTCTGATTTTTTGGGTAAGACAGTTCTTTATATTTACGGTTAGCAAACATACCAGAATGTTTGTACTGTAGGTGGAAAGTAAAGTGTTCTTTATTCAATTTAAAAAAATGGGTCACTTCATTTTAGGATGATCTATTAAAAGGATTGATAACGTTGATACATAAATAGAAAGTGACTTTAATAGTTGGGATCGCGAAAATTACATATTTGCCTGGAAGTGACTAATATGGAGTCTATATAATATTGGCCACGGAAGTACAGACTATAATGAAGTAGGGGCTCCAAGAGGCCAGCGGCACACACCCAGCAAAAATTAACCCAAGTACCCCCTCCCCCCCCCCCCCCCCGTAGTAAACAACAAAAATGAAGAGAGGGGCCCAAAAGACCGCCCGAACACCCCCCCAAAAACTTACCCAAAGTCCCCCTCCCCCCCCCCCACCCCGAGATTTCTTGGTGGGGGTGTACTGCCCAGTTCTCCAAATTCCCACGTTTAAGTCATTATTACTTAGATTAGGACGCCAACAAAAAGATTTCTTTAAATACTTTTCGAATTTGCCCATTACTCTCTCTTTCTTATTCATTCTGAAACGTCAAATACGTTCATACTCTTCCTCGAAAACCATACCCGATTCCGGACCAAAATGGGAAAAGTCTATACCCGTTGTCAGACCAAAACGGCGGAAAAAACATACCCTTTGGGGCGGCACATACCTATATGGGTCATATAAGAGAGTATCTCCATCTCCCCCGGGCACAACCTTCTCGAGAGCGTTAGCGCGTTCAGGGAAAAACTTTATTTGCCTCTCTCTGCTGGTTACTTTCAATCATTTTCATCAGAAAAGCGTGAATTAACCAGGAAAAATTAAACTGGCTAGAGAACTGGGTGCCCAGGGGAGGGGGGGTTGGGGGGGGGGGTACGGGACGTGCTGCTTTACAGGGTACAGTCTCTGTCCTAAACAGGGTGTATATTTGCTTGACTCTGTCAACAGGGTATGGGTTGCACGAATCATTTAATGATTTGCAAGATGAATTTTGTTGTGCGTGATAAAGCTGTTTATCAGGATTAAATACAATTGACGGAAGTTCAGTGCTAAGCCC